AACAATAATAAAACATGGTATATATATATTATATAATAGTATTTTATTATTCTATGATTTTGCTTATTTATTTTTTCTTTATTTTCATTATTTTTTATAATAAAACAAAACATAATAGTAGAGTAATATAAATCTAACATTTAAAATATGATGCATTATATATATATATATAAATTGTTTAATAAATAATCGATAAGTAAATTTATTATATCATTATTCTTGTTAAGAAAAATAAAGTATTGCTTATATTATAGGATAGGATAGTTTATGTCAGGATTATAAATTATTCGAAAGAAAATATAACAAAGATATATCATATATAATCCTAATTGAATGAACAGAGAATAACGATGTTTGATAAATTCTTATTGATTATATTATTTGAAAATGATCTCTGTTTGTGAATCCTTTGTATATAAAGGAACAACGAGAAAAGATTGAGAAAAAAAGTAAAATATTCTTCTTTCGGATGAAGTTGAAGTAGGATAATAATTTGAATATGGTTATGTGTTTTATGATGATCGTCATCATTTTATATAGACAGAACAAGAGTTTCGATATCAAGGAGCAAAGAATTCCGGTTATCGAAGCGAAAAAATGAGGTCGAGTAGCGTTGGCACGCTCACAAAGATAACAATCCTCAGTTCTCTTCTAGTTGGGTTTGTTCATCGTTCTTCCGGTTTCCGGTTTCCTGTACGTTCCATCGTTTCTTCTATTATTTCACCCTAAACTTTTTAATATCTTACAATTAATTCTGCGTTCAATTTTAATAATATATTTTATTTTATTTTTTTTTTATCTTAGTTATATTAATTTTGTATTATATTCAATCATCATTTTTATCTTTTCAACTAATAGAAAAATCTTGTCTTTTTATTTTTCAAAATCTTCGATTGTAAATTTTGAAATACAATTAATACAAAATTATCGCTAATATTCGTTATAAATTAATTTCCTACGAGGAGAGAAAGAACCGAGTAGTCAGATTAAAATTCATCATTCGTTTTAATTAATCATTCTCATTTTACTTCAGAGATGTGTTTTAACCCTCGCGTTGGTAATAAGATAAAAAAAGAAAAGAGAAAGAGAAGAAAAAATACGACGAGAGTTAAATACTTGCTCGCGTAAAACGAATTGAAAAGTTTCCTCGAGTATTTTGAAAAGAAGGGTGGTTGGATGGGTAAGAGGAGGAAAGGGATGACTAACAATCATTATTATTTCACGTTGTATCAACCACATGAAATAAATGACGTATTAAACTGTTTACAATTGAATTTCCAAGAATATATTAGTGTAAGATAAAATATGTAACATGCGTTATGTTTGATAGGATAATGACAATCTTTTACGTGTAAAATAAAATTAATACAAATTAAAATTGTAGATCGGCGGATGGACGTGCCAATCGTTGGGAAGTCCGAACTCGGAGGAAAGTACGAAGCCGGAATCCGGCCTCGTCTTCTTGGTTCTTGTTGTCGTTGTCGTCATTGGCAAAGAAGAAGAAAAGAAGGAAGAACAAGTGTTAGTATTAGTATTAAAAGTAATAGTGGTGTTAGTGGGGGCAGCAAGTTGACGGAAGTCGATAGATTTGCTAAAAGGAAGAGGGAACGGAAGAAGAAGAAGAAGAAAAAGTGTTCTGTGGGGGGGAGGTGGACGAAAAGGGGTCGAGAAGGGGGAGGGGGAGGAGGAAGGAGAAGGGGAAGAAGAAGAAACGAAAGAAAAAGACAAGAAGAAGAAGAAGAAGAAGAAGAAGACAAAGGTGGTGGTAGTGGCAGTGGTGGTGGTGGTGGTGGTGGGTTATGGTGGTGGGTTATGGTGGTGTAAAAAAAAAAACAAGACAAATCATCCTTCCATTGAAACCTTTTTAATCTTTAAATCCAATCATTTCATCGAAATCTTCAATTAATTATTAGAATTCTTTTATTTATCCTCCCTCCCCCACTCCCACTCTTCCAATAAGTTTCTTGACGTATTTTCCCTAGTCCCCCCTCCCCACCCCCAACTCCTTATCCCTGTAAAAAAGTAAGTCATACGTTCCTCTATTTCATTTTTTTTCCTCTTCTTCTTTTTTTTTTTCTTCTCTCCCTCCTCTAACTTTAATAACATTACCATTCAATATTTCCTTCCTCTTTTTTCTAATGGAAACACGCTAACCGGTATTTTAATCATCAGTAACGTCTCGTACCTCGAACGGAGTAGTATCGTTTTGTAGTTTCTTCTCTAAGTGTTTACGTTTCGTTTTTCGTTTCTTTTTTTTTTCTTTTAAATTTATTTTCTATTTTTTCTTTCTTTTCTCATATATATATATATAGAAGAAGTGTGTTTGTGTTCAAGTATTCAGTGTAATCGAGAGGAACTACTGTTGCATAAACGAACTGCATCACACACACACACATACACAAACACATACTGTTCAATTATACCTCGATCGAATTTGTTTTCGTTATTTTTATTTTTTCGTGTGATCGAATATAAATAAAATAAAAAGAAATATATAACTGTTCGTAAATCAATGTGACTAAAGTGTTCGTGTTTTGAATTATTATTATTATTATATAAGAAACATTGTTTTCAATTATTATTATTATAATAAAAGAACACTGGTACTGTGGTTTGATTTTCTTATTGTCGAAAAGTATATTACTGGGTACCACGAAGATGATGTTCCAGGTTGTAATAGTGTTGTATTTTACTGTGCTAACCACCGGTGCACCACCAGGGTCGTCCATGATATACGCCGACGATAAAGTGGTGAGTTTTCACATACTTTGAATATTTTTTTGTTTTTTATTATCTCTTCGTTATAATATATACTTAATATTTTTGTCTTTGATTTTGTTTCCTTTTTTTTTTATATTATTATCTTTATTTTTGTGATAAGTTAAGAGAGAGAGAGAGAGAGAGAGAGAGAGAAATGTTCTGCAGTTTCTTGTGAAAGTTATACTGGGTATTTACTAACGTAATATATATATATATATACACCACCATAGGTTATGCGTTAAAGAGAAAATTATTTGACGTGGGTAAAATTATCAAAAGTCGACTTGAAAGTGGTCTTGCTAAGAGAGAGATTACGCAAAAGACATTTATATATATATATATATTTATTTACTGGGTGTTTCTAAAAAGATATACTATCTATTTGAAATAATAATTATTAATTAATATTAATAGAATCTTTTTTACAGACACACACACACAATATTTAAGAATTATTTATCTAACAAATGTA